GCTTAGAGTTTCATTCATTCATTCATTCATTCATTCATTCATTCATTCATTCATTCATTCATTCATTCATTCATTCATTCATTCATTCATTCATTCATTCATTCATTCATTCATTCATTCATTCATCCATTCATTCATTCATTCATTCATTCATTCATTCATTCATTCATTCATTCATTCATCCATTCATTCATACATATATTCATTCATTCACTCATTCATTTACCAATTCATTTATTTTTATGTTTTTTCAATCATTCGTTTGTTTTTTTCATTTCTTCATTATGTCGTTCTTTATTTTTGATGCATTTATTGAAACTGTTTTTTGGTCATTCATTCTTTCATTCTTTTAATCAATCATTTATTTTCTCATTCATTTTTAATTAATTCATTCATTTAACCATTCACTCACTCATGCAAAACTCAGTGATGAAATTTTAAAACGAAAATATCAACAACTTTACGTATTATGTCACTCTATTATTCATCCTTTCGTTCTGTCGTTCGAGATTTGTCCATCCATCCATCCATCCATCCTTCCATCCATCCATCCATCCTTCCATTCATCCATCCATCCATCCATCCATCCATACATCCATCCATCCATTTATCCATTAAGTTGTCTTATACATTCATCAATCCATCCTTCCATTCATCATTGTACTTGTTTGTCTTATAATTCCTTCATTCGTTCAGAAACCGATTTATCAGTTCAATCATTTATTCATTCATTTATTCTTTTATTCCATGTGTCACTCTTTTTTCATTCATTCATTTGTTTTTTTATCTATTCACCTTCACTTTTCCCTTCACTCATTCACTCATTCATTCACACACATTCACTCTTCATTCATGGACTAAATCATTCTTCAAACTCACTCACTCACTCATTAACTCACTAACGACATACTCATTTTTGGTTCATTCATTCATTCATCGACTCATTCATCAACTCGTTCGTTCACTCATTCATTCATTTACTCCCACTACTACTACTACCAAACAACCACCCATGCGTACGCACTCAGACGGTCGATCGATCAATCAATCACGCGGGCAAAGATCCGCCCATCACATCACGTGATCAGCCGGCGCGACCAATGGCAAACGGGGTAGACGGCGCGTAACTGAATCACGGCGTCTGATTGGATGGAGGCAAATTTAAATTAATGAGGGAATCCTAAAGTGGCGCCAATTGTCTGCTTGATTTAAGACTGGTGTTGTTGATGATGATGATGGTGGTGGTGGGGGTAGTTGTGGTGATGGTAGTGGTGGTTGAGGCGGTGGTGGTAGAAAAGGCAAAGTTGTTTGCGGTGGTACAGAGGACAATGATGACGATGATGATGAAAATGTTGGTGACAAAGATGAATATGTTAAGGACGCAATGATGTTGAATACCAACTTAAACAATGGCAACAACATCCACAATTCACTCATCTAAATAATAATAATTACTATTACTAATGGTATCTAATACATTACATGTACAAGTTACATGTACTTCAAAAATATTTCTACGCACTTGCTTTTGTTTAAATAGGTCTGATCATGCTAAACAACTATTTGCAAAATATAAGATCTTAAACATTCATCAAATCAATATATATATATATATATATATATATATATATATATATATATATATATGTATATATATGTATATATATATATATATATATATATATAACCCTTTGTCTTTATATATAAAGTTATAAACAATGTAAACTACAAGTTTTTAAACTCTTTTAAATACACAAAATCATCAACAAGACAGAATGGTATGCTTTGCTCTGTTATAAGTAGAACTAGGAAAAATGGAAGAAATTGGTCGGTTCGAGGATTAAAGCAATGGAATGCTATTGTCAGTGTTGAGGCTAGAACTATGCCAATAAATTTGTTCAAAAATTATGTTAAAGTTTAATTAGTGATGTTGTTGAAATTGGCTGAATTTAAAAATTTTATGACTTACTGAATTTTATTTATTTTTGTTTTTTTATTTCATCTGAACTTGAATATCAAACTAATTTCAGCTTAAACTATTTATTAGTAGACAGTTTTTGTTTCTATTGATTATGATATTTTGTTTCTGTTAAATATAGCATTTTGTTTTATTGCTTAATTTGACAATTATCGAACATCTTGCACCTCAGTTAAGGTAATCAACACAAGTTTTCATTATAACTTCTTGATTGCCAAAAAATTATCATTATTATAATTATTATTATTATTTAGAAGGAGAAGAATAATGGCAATATTATTTTTATTACACACTTAAAACAATAATAATGCCAACAACAACAACAGCAACAACAATAATTATAATAATAATAATAAACGTCAATAACATGGTGGCAGGGGTAGTGGCGACAAAAAACATTGATAAAGATGACGATGGCATTCATACACACACACACAAACAAACACACGCACACAAGCACATACGTACACATACATATAAACCCCACTCACACTCGCACACGCAGACACACAAATTTATTTTTTTCAAAAATTTTGTCACTCAGTCGAACAAAGAACTGACTGCGTACGTTCGCTGCAGTAGTAGTGGCGGCAGGGGTAGTGGTGGTAGTAGTAGTGGTAGCAGTAGTAGTAGTGGCAGTGGTAGTGGCGGTGGTAGTGGCAGTGGTAGTGGCAGTGGTAATAACAATATTAGTAGAAGTTGTAGTAGTATTAAAAGCAGCAGTACTAGTAATACTAATAATAGTAATTTTGTTTGCAGCACTAATGGTATTTGCTGGCTTGACTGTTACTTATATTGAAGTGGTAAGAATGGTATTGTTAGTGGTTGTGGTAGCAACTTCATTGGTAGTAGTGGCAAAAGTTGTAGTAGTAGTAGCAGCAGCACCATCGTTATTAATACTTGAAGTTGTGGTAGTGGTAAAAGTGGTAGCAGCAGTTAAAGTGCCACTACTAATAGAAAGAGCAAAACTAACAGTAACAGTAACGGTATTTGTAACAATAACTTTTTGTTTTAGTAATTTATTTTAAATCTCTTTTAAAAAAATCAAATTAGTAGTAGTAGTAGTATTGGTAGTATTAGTAGTAGTAGTAGTAGTAGTAATAGTAGTGGTGGTGGTTGTAGTAGTGATGGTAGTAATACTACCTTAAAAATCATTACTACCTTAAAAATCTATTACTACTGCTACAATTTCTCTTACCATGGAAACTGAACAGTATTTAAAGAAACGCTGATAATACCAAATAGAGCAATGTCTACAATGTTAATAACTCATTTTAACTTTCACAATATAGCGCTGAGTAACGCAACGTAATCAACGCAAATCACAACTTTAACGTTATTTAAACAAGTTTGCAACGTTAATTTAGAAGATTATTTAAAAGAACAATGACTGCATACAAAACAGCTCCACCACCCGGATTAACCTTGTAACCGCTTGCAGCATCCGGCAAGACTTGCATTGCGGAAACAAATAGGGTTGAAGCAGTAAAGCAGCCCATAGCGATTCCCTCCTTCAAATCAATCCAACCTGTAATAAAGTCGCTCGTTGTAAATCACATTCTGAAACCGTTGAAATAATTCTTCAAAATGTTTGATAATTTTACCAGGAACAGGAAACATCTGGAGTTACTTCCATAGTAGATTGTGAGGTACAGGGCCATAAGCTTTCGCTAGATCCAACCAGACGACGAGAAGACTCAGTTTTTTTGTTTTGGCTTGTTAGATTGTATGTATGTTAAAACTAAAACGTGATGAATGACACTGAACAACAGTAAACCATCAAGTAACAATTATTATAGCATGTTAGCTGCACACGTCGGCTTCAATTGAATATTCCCCATCACAAAGCACAAAATGTGATTTGTTGTAAAAAAAAACAGTTTTCTGCTATCATTTGATCTAAAGCTAATAAATTTACTTTAAGAAATTTAAAAGTGTTAAGGTCTATAGGGCCAAAAACATCAATGCATATCGACAAAAATTCTACCAAAGGGAAGGGCGTTTTCGTATTTTTTCATTATCTCTTCCGCGGCCTGGTTGCGGCCAAACCACATTCCTTACTTGTCAGATTTATATATCGTTTGGCATGGAACTGACGCCTTGGAAAAGAGCTCTAAAATTTAGTCGTTTAATGCTGAGTGACGTAATAACGACGACCTTCACTCAGACGACAAACCAAACCGTGGTCACAAAATTTAATCGGCACTTGTATTTGTTTTAAATAACCCAAGCCAAGTCTAAAACCAATGGCAAATCTTGTTGAACCTGAAACCAACCATTGTCAGTCAATTGAATATTGCTGAATGACGACAAGGCGATGCGTAGAGCTCTATCAAATTTGCCCAATTTAGAAAAATCAATGTGACTGAATATATGAAAAAAGTACATCAATTTGGGCAAACTGAGGGCGTTGCGGATGATATTCAAGGCGTCCTGGGCTGAAAAATAAGAAAGACGACAAAGAGCAAATTTAAGCTCAAAAAGTTTTTGATCAAAAAATTTCAATTGGTAATCACCCTCGGCCAAAAGATCTAGAATAAACTTTGGCAGTAAAGTTCTCATTTTATAGTGTTTAACTCTAAACCAATTGCGGCAGAGTTATGCTTTAAATATTTGTTGTTGTCGACCAGAGTTAGACCGTCAGAAGCAATACTAATGTCGTTCAGATACCCACAAACGCAAATGGACAACGATTTCTTCAGAAGTAGATGAAGAGTATGTGCATACAGTAAGACAGTGCTTCTCGAACTTTTTGGTTCGGCGGACCGGCAACGAATTTAACAGGAACGTCGCGGACCGCCACCCAGCTTGCGGAATATATATATATATCTGCCGCAATATATATATATATATATATATATATATATATATATATATATATATATATATATATATATATATATATATATATATATATATATATATATAGATATATATATATAAAAATATATATATCTATATATATATATATATATACAGAGAGATATATCTATATATAATTTTCTCACTATATAAAAAAATA